GTCTAGAAAAAGCCTCATCAATTTTTAAGACAGGGTCGACTTTGAAATGTCGCAACGCCTTGGGCTTTGATTTTATACTGTTCTAACTCACTAATACTTTTCTGTAGCCCTTTACATGTAAATTTTATCACAATAAAGCACTTGATGTTAGCTTTGGTTTTTAAGAAGTAATTGGCAAAATTCTTATAGATTTATGCTTGAAAGCTTAAGATCTTTAAATCACAGTGTAAATGCGACATCAGTGTTACGGCATTGAACCTCCTAGCTCCTCTAGGTTTCATTTTACCCACAAATATGAGCATAGCAGCAAAATTATCCGGTTATATATTAGTAATTCAAAAAATTCAAAACATTTTTGTTCTACTCAATATCTATTTAATTAGATGAGTTATGATTTAAAATATATAAGATTTCAATGTTACGTGTAATTAATTTACTTTATTTAGATGTGAGTACACCCCCCCCCCCTCTTCTCACCTGCTATCTTTGTATAATTGCCCAACATCCATAATTCGGATGGAGTGAATTAATATGAAACTGATCCTCTCAACCTCACCTCTACTCGACGGAGCTTACTAATCAGAATGTTCTTGTCTCTGACAAAAACCTGAAAAATTATCCTTCCATCGTTACCGGGGAACTTTTTACTCCGGCTCCGGCACACTCAGAGAACTTTTTTATTGAGTTTGAGATACTCACGACATTTAATTATAGATAAATCAGTTTTGTATCGGAGAACATTGTTAAGGTATTTAACTAAGAAAGGACGGAAGGAAGGAAAGGGGCGGGGATAGGAGTGAGGAGGGGGGGAGAATGTGAAACAAACAATATTTCAGTCAAATTACATTTTCTTTATTTCTCGTTATCTTGTTTAGGTCCGCCCCTTTTCTCATTTATCTTACTATCTTTATACCTAACACTACTTCTTATAAATGTAGAATGGATAGATGTTAATTTATAATTTTTAAATTTTTTTTAGTTTTTTCTCTGGTACTTATCCAAATTTTAGGTGGGACGACTATCTCAGCATAAAAATTAATAATTAAATGCTTTTTCGAGCACTTTAAACTAAAGTATATTGCATATAAAATTGATATCTTATATGTTTTCAATTAAGACTCTTTTTTATTGAAGAGTTATAGAGAAGAACAGAAATGTTTATAATTGCTTAAATGTAATCTGATAGGTTTATGTAAATCCAAAACTACAGGAACTTTTTTTAATGTTTTTTAAGCTAACTTTAATTGTGACTTTTTAAAAAACTAAGAAAAAGATCGTCGCTGAAAGTTTTTTTCATTGATTTTCCAACGTTTTCATTTCCCAAAACTTGATTGATTCACTTTCAGCGCATATTTCAATATTATAATAAGATCCAAAATATCTATCGCTGAAATATTTGCAATAAGCAGAGAAATTGTAAGAAAAACAGAATTTTGGACAAAATTAGTTTTCGAACATGTGGTGAAAAAATGGGGGGGGGGATAGAGGTGAAATAGGACGATAAGGAGGGTGACATGTAGCTTAGGGGAATGGAGGGAGGGGTATGGTGAAAAAGGGGAGGGAGGGGTGGGGGTGTTATCCTTTAACAAAAAACTTCTGCTTGGCACCTGCTAAGTGTGAAACCACCAATTTTTATCATTATTTGATTTTTTCACCCTATCCATTTTCCTTTGCTATAGGCGATATGCCCCCCCCCCTCACACTTTTAACCCTCCCCTAGGGATGTCTAAGTAAGATACTATACATTTTACCATAATTTTAAATCATAATGTGTATATGATTAATATAAACTGAATACTTGCATCTACTTCGAATCGATGGTTAAAATTTGAACCGGCATTTCAGCGACGTAGCTCAAATTTATTAAATTTGAACTGGTATTTCAGCGACGTAGCTCAAATTTATTAAATTTGAACCGGCAATTTAGCGACGTAGCTCAAATTTATTAAATTTGAACCGGCAGTTCAGCGACGTAGCTCAAATTTATTAAATTTGAATTGGCAGTTCAGCGACGTAGCTCAAATTTGTTCAATTCGGTCCCGGAATTCATAGTTTGAAATATTAAACCAATTAGCCATGAAACTTTTAAATTGGTCCTGAGTTTACATATCTTTGTACACACTGTTGGTGAAAATTTCTATTCTATAAAGCCTTGATTACAATGATCATCCCTTCCCCCTCCCCTCTACTCAACAGCTGAGTTGATAATCATTAAAAAAATTCAAATCATCTTGGTCAATTCACAGAATTAGAGAAACATTTTGTCTGATAAACGGGGTTTAGGTTTAAGGGACGAAGTTTAGGTCCTCCATGTCCCTATTAGAGGTTATTAAGGTTCCATTTTTATCTATTTTAAAACTAGGTTTAAATATTTTGATAAAGTTAGTGAAGTATAATTGCCCCTGGTGGTAGTAGTAGCAGGAGATAGAGGAGTAGTGTCAGGGTAGTGTTGTCCTCACATCTGTTCTCAGTCAGAAGATATTGTATTCAACCCTGATAAATGATCAAGAGGAGGGGCCTGTCCCCACCCTAGTCCTTAGGGAGGGGCCTGTTCCCCCCTCCTAGTCCCTAGAGGAGGGGCCTTCCCCCCCTCCTAACTAGTCCTTAGAGAAGGGTCCTGTCCCCCCTCACTAGTCTCTAGAGGAGGAGTCTGTCCCCCCCTCACTAGTTCCTAAAGGAGATGCCTGTCCCCCCCTCTACCTAGTCTCTAGAGGAGATGCCTTCCTAGTTAACGAAATTTAAGCGTCTTCTTTCCTGGAAAAATTTCTGTGTACGCCCCTAAAACTGGGTCTGCTGGACCGTGGGAGAAATAATAAAAAATAATTAGGTCATCAAACTAACCTGTCACGTGACAATTACCTAAATATAATATTAAATATTGTAATAATCAATATTGATTATACCAACATTAGACTTCTATACTCATATATATTCAAATATTTCACAGAATGTGGGTTATTGGAGGTGATATGAAGGGATACAGAGGTACAGGGATACAGAGATACAGGGATACAGAGATACAGGGATACGGATACAGGGATACAGGGATTTACAGGGATACAGGAATACAGGAATACAGGGATACAGAGATACAGGGATAAAGGGATACAGGGATACAGGATTACATGAGATACAGAGATACAGAGATACAGGATTACATGAGATAAAGGATTACAAGGATACAAAGATACAGGATTACATAGATTGGGATAAGGACACGAAGGACTTCGGGTATACAGGGATACAGGGTTACAGAGATACTAGGATACAGAGGTACAGGGATACAGAGGTACAGGGATACAGAGGTACAGGGATACAGAGGTACAGGGATACAGAGATACAGGGATACAGAGATACAGGGATACGGATACAGGGATACAGGGATTTACAGGGATACAGGAATACATGAATACAGGGATACAGAGATACTGGGATAAAGGGATACAGGGATACAGGAATACAGGGTTACAAGGATACAGAGATACAGGATCAGCTGCATGTAGGACTACAGAGATACAAATATACAGGATTAGAGGTATGTAGAGGATAGAGAGATACAGGATTACTGAGATGCATAGAATAGAAGTAAAAGGAATACAGGTATAAATAATTTCGAGGATACAGGAATATAGAGATACAGAGATAGAGAATCAAAGAGACACGTAGGACTACAGGGATACAGGGATGCAGGGTTACAAGGATACAGAGATACAGGATTACATGAGATACAGAGATACAGAGATACAGGATTACATGAGATAAAGGATTACAAGGATACAAAGATACAGGATTACATAGATGCAAAGAGATTTGGAAATACAGGTATAAAGGATTTTTAGGGATACAGTGATAAAGGGATACAGGGATGCAGGGCCGGTTACAAGGATACAACGGTTTGGGATAAGGACACGAAGGACTTCGGGTATACAGGGATACAGGGTTACAGAGATACTAGGATACAGAGGTACAGGGATACAGAGGTACAGGGATACAGAGGTACAGGGGTACGGAGGTACAGGAGTACAGAGGTACAGGAATACAGAGGTACAGAGATACAGAGGTACAGGGCCGGGTACAGAGGTATAGGGATACAGAGGTACAGGGATACAGAAGTGCAGGGGTACATAGGTACAGGGATACAGAGGTACAGGTTTAGAAGCAAGTAGTTGTGGGACTACAGAGATACAGAGAATTTTACTGTTTATGATGTCTTATTTTTGTTTTTTACAAGAGGCACATTCCTCCTTTTCTAGGGAAAAGGATGAATGTGCCTCTTTGCCCCCTCCCCCAAGCTACGGCCACGGGCCAGCGGCGGTGTTGTGAACATTAACAGCCCGAACAGGGAATGCAAATCTTTAAATGTCCAGAGGGTCATTTGGTCAATAGTAACCAATAACTTACAAGAGTTGTGTTTACAAATGTGATCTAACAAACAAGGTCTTGTTATCAATAATAAGGTCTTGTTATCAATAGTAAGGTCTTGTTATCAATAACAAACTTTATCCTTTATCCAAGAAAACATTGTACATTGTTTTTTTAAACGGCGAAAATCTCTCGCTATTTGAGAGACATTAACTACTCTTTAAAATCTTATTAAGGAAAACTCCCCGTCCCTGATCTACCTAGCTAATACATGGATATTAGTCATCATACAGAATAAAGAAAAAACCTTCCCCCCCCTTGGACGAGTAGGGGGGAGGGTGTCCCGTCCCGTTATGGTCGGTGTGGTCCATTGGCCCAATATTGTTCAAGTTCCGGGCCCTTCAAGCCCTTAACTACCAGCACGTGTTCTAGTTTAGGCCTCGGGGATCCTCTCCCATACCTTAACCGTGTTCTACGCCGCGCAACACGGTTAGAGTAGATTTATCGAGGTACAGTATTTCACCCAGTTTCGAGAGAATCCCCCCTCCCACTCTCTCTCCCCCTAATACCGGCTTTCCCGTAGAGTACGCAATACGCAATATTGCTGTCACCGGCGTACGCTGCGTCAGAGACTTTAGCAACAGTGGCACAGTTGAAGTCCCGTCAGTTTGAATTCAGACCCGGAGCACGACGGAGCTGAACCTAGAACAAAACGGCTTGAACCATGTTGCAGATAGATCTCCGAACCCTTCCTTCACATTCAGTGTCTGCCTCATCCCATACTCCATACTCGGATGCAACCAAGGTACATTTGTTTATTCTCAACCATATCAGCAAAGGAATCTTCCTGAAATCTAAATTTCTAATCCTGATATCCTTGAAACCTGATGTCATAGATCTTTGATATTTCCGAGTCTAGCTAGCTAGATTCCACTAAATTTAAAGTTAAAGTTTATCAAAGGTTTACACAGTATATGAGTTTGCAATGATTTGGGGATTAGAGAATTACAGGCTTTATGCGAGTAATCAATTTCTTTTTCGTCATGAAACTTTGTTTTTTGCAACAGTTTTCTTTTTGCAAAAATAAATTTTCAGATTATAAAATATTTAGCTAGGGTACTTTTGAACACCCCCTTCTCTTCGCCTCACAACCTGATTTTTCATCTTACAGATTTTGAAATTTAGTTTTTTGTTGATTTTAATAACTTTTGTCTGAAAAAGGTCATCAACATCAAATAAATTTTAAATCTTGATATATACCCATGCCCTAATGCAATGGTGAAATTATGTTCTGAAAATTCTTATAAATAAACTGAAAAAATGTTTGAATTCTAGAGCAAATGTTTGTATTTACAAAATTCCACATTACTACCTCATATTTTTCCCATGCTTTTATATATACTTATATACACATACCCTCCCCCCCCCCATTTATACACATACCCCCCTGCAGATACCCCCCATTTATACTCCCCAGGGCTGATCAACAATATACATTCCCAAGGGTTTTATATAGGATTAGTCTTTGAAGTTTCAGGGTAACACACTTTCATTTGGAAACTGGGTCTGCTAAGCTTTTCTATTCTGAAAACTGGGTCTGCTACTCTATCGTTTTCTCAAAACTGGATCTGCAACACTATACCTATTCTAAAAACTGGATAAGATACAATGTCCTCTTTTGAAAACTGGGTCTGCTACACTTTCCCATTCTCAAAATTGAGTCTGCTACACTTTCCCATTCTCAAAATTGAGTCTGCTACACTATCGTTTTATCAAAACTGGGTCTGCTACACTATCCTATTCTAAAAACTGGATAAGATACACTATCCTATTCTCAAAACTGGATCTGCTTCACTTTCCTATTATCAAAACTGGATAAGATACACTATCCTATTCTCAAAACTGGATCTGCTACACTTTCCTATTCTCAAAACTAGATAAGATACATTATCCTATTCTCCAAACTGGGTCTGCTTCACTTTCCTATTATCTAAACTATTTCATTATCTAAACTATCCTTTAATGAATAAAAGAAAACAGATTTTAAACAGATTTGTCTTATAATCAAGTGATTTCACTAAACCCTATCAGAGCAGCTCACTAATTAAGTTATTGTTCAAATTGTTTCATGCATATACATTTTTTAATACATTTCAGAGAAATTGTAAAAAAGCAGTTTAACATTCACTGCATTTTTATTTGTATGTTAATAGTTAACTAGTTTCAAACAATTACTTCGTTTAACTATAAAAATGTTTTACCTAGTTTTCCTAGTTTTCAATAATGTATGAATATTGAATTTTAAACTAAATTGTTTAGTACTTGGGGATTCATAAACAGTAGAATAGGAAAACAAAACTTTAGAAATCTATTGTGTATTTGATGTCGTTTAAAAATCAACTTATTATTGTTATGTTTCATGTCCATTAATTGGGCTATTTCAAATTATAACTCTAACAGTAGTCTTTTTATTTCGCAGTTTTTTTGGTCCCAGTGTAGCTTAGTTCGACATCATGCAATATGCTTTAAATAGCTCAATTTTATCTATAAAATGTGATCAAAATGAGGAAGAATTTAGTTTTAAAATCGCGCAACCTCGAAACTGAAAGAAAGTACATATCTGTAGTGTTTCTTATAAATTACTGAGTTCATAGGCATTTCCGTTCTGAAAGGGGGGTATTCAGTACCCTGTCATTACCCAGAGTACATGATGCTTACAAGGGGGGTATTCAGTACCCGGTCATTACCCAGAGTACATGATGCTTACAAGGGGGGTATTCAGTACCCGGTCATTACCCAGAGTACATGATGCTTACAAGGGGGGTATTCAGTACCCGGTCATTACCCAGAGTACATGATGCTTACACAGATAGAAACTTTATGACTTAATTTTTCAAGATTGTTGAAAATATTAACCTAAAATTGAAACCGAGGCTATACCCTCAAAATTGATATTTCCGAATTCTTGCTAAATTTCTAGAATTCAGAGCTTTCTTTCTTCAATAAATAAATTGTTTCAGACTAAGAAGCATCCCCCGAACCATATAAAGCGACCCATGAACGCGTTTATGGTCTGGTCACAGCTACAACGACGACATATAATTGCCTCAAACCCTGACGCGCATAATGCCGAAATTTCTAAGGTAAGGATTAAAGAAAAATTTGGCGGATTTCTTGGATTTTTTTTTCTTTAATTTTACGGTTCTTTATTTTTTAAACTACCCAGTAATTATCGAAAAAGGAATAATTATATGTTTCTTTTAAAGTTTTCAATGAATTGAGATTTATTATGTTTAGGTGTATTTCTAGTTTACATATCTATGCTTCTCCAACTTTAGTAAAAATATATAAATACATGATTTACACCTGTTAAACGATGAATTAGTATCTGTCAAAGTTCATTAACACCTCACACATTATATATCTATCTGTCTAGTTGTCCAACTGTATGTTTAAATGTATATTTTTTCATTTTTTTCATATCTCTAAACCTCTCTAAACTCTAATTCTAAACCTAATCACTAAACCTTATCTCTAAATCTAATCTCTAAACCTAATCTCTAAACCTAATCTCTAAAACTAATCTCTAAACCTAATCTCTAAAACTAATCTCTAAACCTAATCTCTTAACCTAATCTCTAAACCTAATCCCTAAACCTTATCTCTAAATCTAATCTCTAAACCTAATTTTAAAACTAATCTCTAAACCTAATCTCTAAACCTAATCTCTAAACCTAATTTCCAAACCTGATCGCTAAACCTAATCTCTAAGCCTAATCTCTAATCCTGATCTCTAGACCTAATATCTAAACCTAATCTCTAAACCTGATCTCTAAACCTAAATCTTAAACCTAATCTGTAAACCTTATCTCTGAACTTGATCTCTAAATCTGATTTCTAAACATAATCTCTGAACCTAACTCTTGATCTGTTTAGAACCTTGGAAAGCAGTGGAAGCTGTTGAGTGAGAATGAAAGAGCTCCGTTTATTGACGAGGCCGAGAGACTACGTATCCTGCACCAACAAGAGTACCCTGATTACAAATATCGTCCCAAGAAACGCCAGAGGTCTGGAGAGGACAAGGAGAAAGAACGGAGAGAAAAAGGAGAGAGAAGTGTGGACCCAGAGAAGAAAAAAATGAGAATTAAAGAGGAGAAAAGTTTTGAGAGCTACTACCAGGTCCCTAGTCCTATTAGCTCCAGGTCCTATGGACCTACACCTAGTCCGGTCCAGTCCTATACCAGTCCCACCAGCAGTCTTTCTTTAGTTCCCTCACCCCTTGGTTACACCAGAGATGACTGGGCGGAGCAGATTGGACATACCCCTCCTGGCAAGGTGCCCTCTAGTCCAACCTTTCCCTTCAGTCCAAATAACGTGAGTAAAATTTATTATTTTAAGCATTTTTTATCCTCCCCCCCTCATATGCCTATTTTTTATCTCCCCCCCTCATATGCCTATTACATCATCTCTCATGAACGTTTGAAGGTTAATAGCATCTCTAAATATTGGGGGTGGTGTTGTTGAATTTTTCTCCATGTTTACGTTTGTATTGATGTATTGGAGTGTAGAACTGTTATTGGTTCTATATAAACCAGCTCCTAGTATTCAATCTAGTACCTAGAGCACCTGTCCTTCCCTACTCAATCATATATTTAGGAAAAAATACGCTTCTCCGGACACATGTCCAGATACATGTCGGACAATAGAAATAAGGATGTTTAATCATCATTATCAGATGATTACACAAGAGCAACGTGTTTAGTCTAGTTTATAAATTCGAGTGCAAGTTCTGCATAAGTGTTGTGCGGGGCATGCACTTTATTGCATTTCATCACATGCGAGAAATGCAATTCATTGCAAATGTGTATCTATTGATGCAAATGCATAAATCAATGAATTAGCACATGTGTTGCTTTTTTATATTTATATATATGTATATGTATACTAGAATCTTGTGGAAAATTTATAAAAAAAATAGTCTTCAGAAAATTATTTATAACATATAAAATACCTACTTCCTAAATGTTGTTGTTGGGTTTCAAAGTGCAAATAGGTTTCCGGTTTCCTATATATATGTTTTTGGGTTGATTTGTTTGTTTATGTTTGTTGATCAAACACTTGTGTTTTGTTGTAGCCTTTGAGTCACACATGCTTTTATGTATGAGGGGTAGGATCGTATAACTTTGTGTACATAAAATGCATATATATATATATATATATATGTGTGTGTGTGTGTGTGTGTGTATTTATAATGGTTTCTTTGTGCTTCAGTATGGTTTGGACAGTTCTCCGTCGATCTATGACCAAGGATTTGTCTACCACCACTCTACGGAGCAATGTCTCACGGAGAATTGTCTGGACTGCGTAGAGTCCTGGGAGAACAGGAGCATCAGAGAACAGGAGAGCAGGGACGGATGGATAGATCAGGACGGATGGGAGAGTAGGATCGGAGCTAGGCTGGATCATGAGATCAATCCTGCGGATTGTACTCCAGTTGAAACGGTAAGTGAAAATCCTTTAAAAGTGATGAGGAACTAATGTTTAGAAATAGTTTTAAAAAAATAAGAAACGAAGTAATTATTAATTTCTATATGTTTAGGTTAATTCTGTTAAGTTCTCCCATATGTACCAGGAGATTCAAGAGTTCTACCACGAATATAACGTACAGGAGACTAAGGTTGAGAACTCAGAAGATATATCTCTGAGAACCCTTCTCCAAGATCCTCTTTATACAACGCCTCCTCCTTCAAACTCCGGAGCTGTCAGAAACCTTACTCCGTACTTTGACCAGGAGGACCCGGAGCTGATCCTACCAACCATTAATCAGCATGAGTTTTCTCAAGGGTTTACCGGAGATGTTCTGACAACCCTGCACCCGGAGCTGGAACCTTCTCTATTCTCTGACTGTCTCGAGCTTACTTCGGACTTGAACTTTCCAGAATGGATGGAAAACACGTTGGCGATATCTCTCCAACAATACTAATCCTTCTCCTTGCTCTACTGTTGAACCCTGATGCAGAACAGTTTGTACCTGGAGCAAAACCTTGTCATTTAGTCAGATCTTGGAAGAGAGGAGATGGAATCAGTCTAAACTTTCTCAACAGGGTCAATCTTTTATCATTCACAGAGTTTAGATTTCTTCCATCCTTCTATTCCTTTGAGGAGAAACTATGAAACCAGGAGAAATTTAGTTCATTAAGTTCCATTCGCGGAAACCAGACCCATTTTCTTGATATAGAAAAAATGCGGGAAATTATTCATGAACCCGGGAAAATTCAATAAAAAATCCGCCAAAAGTTAAGAAATTATTATAAAAACTCAAGTTTTTCTAGAGCTTGTGATCCTAATAACGTGTTAATTATTTTGTTGATTGTTTTTCTTCGGCAGCTAGAACTTCATTACAGAAAATAAATTTAGATTTTTTCTGAATTTGGACAAACCAAAGACGACAAGTCAAGTTTAGTTTTTAACTTAGCTTAGTTACTATTATAACACCAAAGGGAGAGTTTTATCAAATTTAGTTTTTAATCGTTTCAAAATCTTGCGACTGTCGAGCTTAGTATCTGCCAAAAATGCTCTGAGGCGGAATAATTCTTGAACTTTAAAATGTTTTCGCCTCTAAATTGAAAGTAATGATGAAATCTTTTCATATTTATACTTTTATATCGGTTTCAAATCTGAATGTATCTATTAGAGAATGCATATATAATATATACGTGATGTGAAATAAACCAGTTCTTAGTTATAAGTTAAATATTCTTTGTGAATATTTATATTTTCATTATATATGTAGTTTCAATATTATTAAGTTTTATATATGGTTACATCAAAACTTTTTTGAGAGAAATGCAACCTAGGAGATAAATAGTTACATCACTTGTTCATTTATCTAAACTTTAAATAGAAATATGATAAATAATAGATAAAAATGTTAAATACTATCAATCAAAATTCTGCTCAAAACTTTAAATTATTTTCAAAAAAGTTTTTTTTCTGATTTTCCTGTGAGACCAGACTCTCACGTCAATAATATTAGAATTTGCAATAGTTGTTTAATGTTCAGTATTTTAAACTGTTTTCTCTGTTAAATAAAAACATTTTATAAACTTTGTATTTTTAGAACTGAGGATCAATAGAGACTTGTAATTGAATAGTCTACTGGAACTGAGCACTTCCCTCAAACTCTAATTTCCTGATACCTGATGTTTAAAACTATGAATTCTACTAGATTTAAAAAGAAAAGTTTGAAATATCAACGGTTTATATCATCAGTGTCCAAATTTAATGAATTTGAGCCGCGTCTAAAATCCGCCAAAAACCGGTTTCAATTGAGCGCCGGCTTAAATCTTGAAACAATGAATATGATTTTAAGGTGGAACCAACCATATTTGAGCCGCAGCTTAACTTTAAGCCGCCACTCAAATTCTTTAAATTCGGCTTCAGGTTGTAAATATATAATAAAAAGATAAGAGTTTGAATTGAGTTGTCAGATTGATATGCATTGATTACAAAAAAAGATTACTTTGCCATTCGATTTACGAAATCTAAGGACTACTAAAGATAATCTTAATTTAGGGACTAGATAATCTAAGGACTTTAAATACTAGTACACTTTGAAGAATAATAATATAAGACTAGTAAACTAGAGATTTTGAAGACTGTTAATCTGAAGACTTTGAAGACTAGTGATCTATGGACTTTAAAGAGTAGCAATCTCAGGACTTTGAAGACTAGTAATCTAGAGACTTTGCAGGCTAGTAAGTTAGTGATTTTGAAGAGTTTGAAGTCTATGGAGTTTGAAGACTATTAATCTATGGAGTTTGGAGACTAGTAATATAGAGACTTTGCAGAGTAGTAATCTAGGGACTTTGAAGACTAGTAATCTAGGAAGTTTGGAGACTAGTAATCTAGAGACTTTGAAGAGTAGTAATCTAGGGACTTTGAAGACTAGTAATCTAGGGAGTTTTGAGACTAGTAATCTAGAGACTTTGCAGGCTAACGTAAGTTAGTGACTTCGAAGAGTAGTAATCTAGGAAGTTTGAGTAGTAATCTAGGGATTTTGAAGACTAGTAAATTAGAGACTATGAAAAGTGGTAATCTAAGTACTTTAAAGACTAGTAATCTAGGGACTTTAAAGACTAGTAATCCAAGGACTTTAAAGACTAGCAATCTAGGGACTTTAAAGACTAGTAATCCAAGGACTTTAAAGACTAGCAATCTATGGACTTTAAAGACTAGCAATCTAGGGACTTTAAAGACTAGTAATCCAAGGACTTTAAAGACTAGTAATCTAGGGAATTTGAAGACTAGTAATCTAGAGACTTTGGAGACTAGTAACCCTTGGACTTTGAAGACTAGAAATCTAGGGACTTTGAAGAGTAGTAATCTAAAGACTTTGAAGACTAGTAATCTAGAGACTTTGAAGACTAGTACTCTAGTGACTTCGAAGACTAGTAATCTAGAGACTTTGAAGAATAGAAATCTAGGGACTTTGCATGCTAGTAAGTTAGTGACTTTCAAGAGTAGTAATCTAAGCAATTTGAGAACTAGTAATCTAGGGAGTTTGAAGACTAGTAATCTAGGATCTTTCCAGGCTAGTAAGTTAGTGACTTTGAAGAATAAGGGACTTTTAAATACTATATATTTATCTAGGAATATAGTATTTCAGTGACTTTAAAAACTATATGCCAGACAACTTAATTGTAACTTTGAAAATTAACACTAGATAGTCTAACTTTTATTTCTTTACAGGGCCGTAACTGAGGAAGGGGGCGCTCGTGTGCACGGCCCTTCCATCTGTTGGAACACAAGAAGGATAGAATTCTCAAATTATTTATTAAAATGCATACTCGAGTTCTTGAGTTTTCTTGTTTGGTTTCTATTAAGAAAGTCTTTTTATTTCATTGTATTCTTGGTATTTTATAATTAATTAATATTAAATCCATATTGAAGGGGTACTGCTGACAAAATTTCAAGTCACCCTCCATTTAAAGAGTTAAATGCAATTTCAATAGAAACTGCAGATGATAATTCTTTGGTATAAAAACAGAATATATCCATAAAATTTGCTCAAACAATAGATAAAAGGGTACTGTTTTAAACTAAAGGGTTACTTGAAATTCTGGCGACAGTCCCTTTAAACAGATGATCCAAATACATACATGCTGACAAGTTGCACCTTTATTTAACAATATTTACAAATCTTAGATTTTTCAAAACTTTATTTTTACACATGGGTATTAATTATATCATTTAAATAAAAAATTAATTTGTTTCCAAATATTATTGTTCATTTAAAATGCATTGTTCACTACGGTTCAATGAAATATAATAAGCAATGAAAAAGGATGAAGTGGAATTCTTTGGATCATTTCACAAAAGAACTGTTCTTTTGCCACAAACTCAAATGTTCAAATTCTATATCTTTGCAACCTGATGGTGTAAACCTTTGATATTTCAAACATAAACTACTTGATTTAGCACAATTCATAGTTTGAAATATCAAATATCTACAACAACAGGTTGAAAAGATATAGGGATTATGAAATCAGCGTTTGGGGCAAAAACTCAGTTCCTTTACGGTTAAATAATTAGTTTTTTTAGACAGAAATATCTAAATTTTTCTATGCAACACTCCGCCTTGTTCACTTTGTTTCACTTGGTGAACCCCGCCCCCCCCCCCCCCCCCCCCCCTACAGAAACACCCTGATACGGGCCTGTTTCTCTATATGATTTTAAACAACAAATTCTAATCAAAACATAAACGTACTTTCGAATGAATTGTTATTGTTACTAGGAAAGGTACCAAAAAAAATGCTATCAAATTTGAATAAAAATTGGCAACACTTTTTCAGCATGCAGAGGGGGGGGGATGAGATGACTCTGTTTAAAGGGACTGTAAGCATAATTTCAAGTGACCCCCAGGCAAAGATGGCAATGCCCGATTCACAACGGTCCCCTTTAAAACCAATTATATAATCAATAATGTGGAAGATATTGTCGTTTGTCTATGTTTCAGAGGTGCTTGATTCTAAAAATTACTATTTTTTACCTGCAGGAGAAATCAGACTTGATCAGACAAAGCTTTAAAGAGACACTTGAAATTACGCTTACAGTCCCTTTAACACTTCTTTACATATATACAGGGTTACCCACAAAGAATGAGACTTCAGGGAGACGACTGTACATAAGTAACTCAGACTTTTATCTTACATTAATGGCTGTCTTTCTCTTTACACTGGTTGCTGAGTTGCGATTGTTATGAAAGTCTATCCGTTTTGGGTAATTCTATATGTCTGTTAGGATCCGATAAAAGTCGAAACGGCTGAGCCGAATGGGTTCAAACTTTCTAGGGAACTGACATATTCCAGGCATAGTTTAATGCAAGTCAGGATTAAAAGTTCAATAAAAAAATAAAGATATTTTAAGATCTATATATTTCAGCAAATAAAATCAAGAAATTTGTTATTGTTATAAATATAAATATAAAAACAAAAATTGCTGGTATAGTATCACTTGTAAGCCTAGAAAGAATTGCATAAAGACCAGCAACTTCCTTCAAACTCCAAACCTCCTCGATGACCGTCTTTCGACCCACCCTGACATCTAGGCCCAATCATTTATGGCTTGATTGGTTCTACTACAAATCATTATGTGTCATATAAAACTGAAAATGTACAATTGTAATATTTATTGTGTTTTCGTCGCAAAAAATGATTAGTAAATAACAACAAAAACTATTATTACTTTTAGAAAGATGGGCGTGAATCATTCTGTAACTATAGTATGAATAGATAAAATAAATTTGCAACTGGTTTATCTTTTTTTTATTTGTTATACAATGAAGCAAGGATATTTTTGCATAACTGACAAACGGGACTATTATCCTCGTGATCCCTCGTTACAAGGCATGAAAATGCCTTTCTTTTTTTATGCATTTAAATGATAAGGTTTGCCTTGTTTAAAACCTGATAATTGAATTTATTGAGTTTTTACAAGGCATGTAAAATTTAATACCATTTTTTAGCATGTTTTTTTTGGCCGAATTTTCTAATTAATCTGGATCTTACAGGTTCAGATATACACCGTATAATATAATAAGAAAATAAGAGATTTAACCAAATCATCAGTTTCATATGTATGTATATTCACAAAAACCGATTTGCCTTAAATTTTGATTAGTTAACTCGGTATAACCACGGGCATGATCTTAGCTTGGTTTTACAAGTTGAATGGGTTTTAGAAAAAGGTTAGTTTCCCGACAAGGCTGGGTTCCTGAGCTAGTATCTAGATAAAAGAGTACACAGCAATCTCACAAGAAAGAGAGAATTTGTCCTGGTGTACTCTCCTTCGTTTAGTATTTTTTTCATTTTGTAACTTAACTGCACAAATTTCTCTAGTTGCTCAGTATTCTAAATTTATAATCATTT